ATATGGTTGGAAAATTCCACACCTCTATCTTAATGAGGTCATTATGATGGCACTCTAAACTTGAAGACTAGCCTGGTAGAGGCAGGAAAGCAATTATTCATATGGACTACGTTGGATTTTTGCTAGAATCAGAAAAACTCTAACAGACATGCCAAGAGTGCTGAGTGGAACACTGAAATTGGTTAAACACTTAAGTTCCATGTTATTTGAAAAGGGTACTAGGGAGATAGTTTAGTGGCATAAGTGCCTGTCTGGCAAGCTCAAGGTCCTGAGTTCAATCCCCAGTACCAAAAAGAAAAGAAAGAAGAAAGAAAAGGGTAACTAGATATAAATAAAATTTTGAAAGAGACCTAAACTGACGCCTTCTGCTTTTCCCGGGGTGTGAACTTGGTCCACAAAATTTGCCCCTTGCTTTACCCATTTCTCAAAAGTTTGGATCCACTGACCACAAAAAAGGCAGTTCCATCAGCAGTTTGCATAAGAACAATTTGGAAGAGAAGTATATTAAATCCTCAGGGAAATTAAACCTAAATTAATCCAATAACAGCATTACAAAATTAACACTAGACTATGAATTAAATTAATTGCCTCCTACCGTGGGGATTCTTGGCTACCACAGACCAAAACAAATGAAGCCAATGAAGTTGGCTGCCTTAAGAGAGGTCACAGGCAAGTGTGTTTTGAAAGTATCCCAAGAGTTCACCCACTGTTTTTCAACTTTCCAGCTGATCCTAGAGTGGTCTTTCCTTCTACCATCTCGCAGCCTGGATGACGTAAGGATGCAGTGAGACAGACAAGGGTGTACAGTTCTTAACACCACAGAGCAATTCTGTGACTTTTTAATGTACACAAGTGTCTGCATACATAAGTAGCTAGAGTGTTGGAAATGCATGAAATATTTTTTCACCTGAGAGGATTAAGGGAACCAATGGGACCAAGGGATGTTTTTCCAGACCCCAGGCAGTCTAGTGATAAGGCAGGGCTTTAAGAATACCAGTCAACTGCTCTGAATGAGCCTGGCTATGGCATTTCAGTAAATACACATTTATTTTTATAAATTCTCTTTTAATGCCTCCATGTCAGTGTGCTTGTGGCAAAGCAAGATTACCTAAATAATACGGGCTCTGGGAGCAACAAAATTAGCGTAGGTGTCACCTACCTGGCCTTTATGAGAGTTCTTAGGACTTCGGCAGGAAGGTAGGATGTGGTAAGTTGATAGAAATGAAACCAGGGTGATTCATGTAGATTTACTGAATGAGGCCCATGGGCAAATGCAAAGGACTTGACTGCTTCCAGCTTCACCTGAGTCTGCCAGTTTGTCAAAATGCCTACTGCATATTTGCTCTTCTGTTCATTCTTCACATTACAGCTGACATTTACTCCAGAAGCTTTTCAATAACCAAACAGCATTTCACGAAAAATTAATCTGTGGTATGTTATTGGAGTATTGTATGACTTACAATTCTTTTCACATTCTTAATTTTGTTTGACATTTTGAAAATAGTATGCCTAATTCTTTTGTGTGGATTTTAAAAACTGTAGCTAGCTTGTAGGAAATCCTTTCTTCTTCCTTTCCTCCACAACTGACAAAAATAATAAAACAAAATATTTTTTGTTTAAGCTCAATGAAATAAAGCATCCTGTTTGGAATCTTAATTGCCTAAACCTTGCCTAATTAGAAGAGCTTTCTTTATGAGGGAAATTATTTTTAACATTAATGAATTTACAAACACAAATGCACATTCCTTACATGCATGTTTTAGTTACACATTCTAATTAATATTAGTATATAAAATGTGTGGAATTGATTTCACTGTTACAGGAAACATTTTTTGTTTCTGGACAGTATAAAAGTACCGTGATTTCCTTTCCTGAAAAACCCTGGGCTCCACGTACTAACTTAATTTTAAATTTGGACAAAATGAAAATTATTTCATCCAAAAGGTTCATTTTATTGATTTTAGCCACTTCGATCCTGTTAACATCACATGTCTTCTGTGCAGATGAATTAACAATGGTACACCATCACAGCAAAGAAAATTACGACAAATGTTCTGAGGTAAGTTTTTAATTCTAATATGGCCAGTATTGTACATGTAATATTTGTTCTGGACCTCATGCTTCTTAAAGAGTAAGGAATAAGTTAGACTGGTTTTCTATTTTTGGTTCTTGTTTTGTTTTGGTTGTGCTCAAACTTCAGCATTCCTGTCACCTTATATTACTTATCACAACAGCAAATAGCCTGGCCTCTCAAGTGACAGAGTCTGCTGCTTAGACTGCTATAATTACCAAGCATAAAGCATATTAATACAGCTTCAGCTGACTCAGAACTGCATACTTGTAATAAAGAATTGTAGATGTAAGATGTGGATACATTTTAGCTGGATATTCTAATTATCTTAAGGTACCAACTATCACAGCATTTACATTTTCTACCTAGCAATTACAAGCTAGTAAGTTTGTGATAAATGTTTATCTAAACTAAAATTTTATCTATCCCAAGATGATGGAATTGCATGTTTTTATTTTGTTCATTATGTTTTGATAACTTTTTCAAGTTTTCTAGGATGAGTATGTATTACTCATTTTATTCAGGTCATAATCAGACAACAATCATTTAAAAATCTTTATAAGGACAAATTTTTAGAGTAAAACTAAAGCTAATTAAATATTTAGTGCATTTTAAGTGGTTCCTCTAAGGTTGGTATGTTTGTGTGGTAGTAATCCATAAACCAATCCGTTCTTTACTAAAAATGTAATTTATATTCTAATAAAATAAAATTGGTTTCTTGAGACTTTTTAGGGTGGAATGCTAAAGATGAAGGTGTAAAAAGGAAATTCACTGGAACCTCCTACAATGAGCCCCCAAAATCTGCTAGTATCTCTATTTTTAATTTATTATGTTCCCACATACCACTTGGCCTTTCAGGGGAGGAGGAGGATGCAAAATATGGAAAGGAAATGGAAGGTTTCTCTAAAGTCAACCTGTGCTAATATTGTTTGGACAATTCAATACCTACACCTCGTACTCTGAGTAACTAATTGAAAGATGACATTATGCAATGTAGTAACCACTGTTACTCTCCTATTATTGTTTTGAAACTTTTTTTTTTTTTTTTTGGCGGAACCAGGGATTGAACTCAGGTCCTTGCACTTGCCACGGAAGTGCTTATTCCACTGAGCCATCTCCCCGGTCCCTTGAAACTTTATTTTTTCTATTTAGAATAAAACTAAACATGTATAAATATATGCACAATATTTCATAACCAACATGAATCAAGAAGCTGAAAGAGAATAACTGCAGTGAAATAGGCTTTGCCTCGTTTCAATGCCTCATTATATTCCTGCTGCTCAACCACATTGCTATATTTACTACATATATTTTATTAATATTTTATAGTTTTCTTACAATAGTCTAGGGACAGAGAAACTAGATTGCTTTAAGAAGCTTAATACAAATTATTTATTAAAAAGTCTTGCATAGAAGAACACAAACTTTGTTTATAGCTTTAACAATTCTGCAGAATAAAGTCTGGGCTTAAGTTAATGTGGAGTTTAAATCTATGGTTATAACAATAATAAATTATTTTACTGGTCATTTTAAATTATAGCCTGGAGGAACCCCAAAAGGAGAAAAGGAAAGAAGTTTCAGTTTTCAAGAATTAAAAGAGTGGGGGCCCAAAAATGTCATTAAGATGAGTACACCTGCAGTCAATAAAATGCCACACTCTGCAGCCAACTTGCCACTGAGATTCGGAAGGACCATGGAAGAAGAAAGAAGCCCTGGGGGTTCAGTCAACCTGCCTCTAAGATTTGGAAGAAACACAGAGGCAGGCAACTCCAGACACATTCCTAACCTTCCCCAAAGGTTTGGGCGAATGACAACAGCCCAAAGTGTCTCAAAGACACTGAGCAGTTTGTTTAGACGATCCACGCACTCACTGTCTGCCGGTGAGTTACTCCACTGCGTGGCCTGCCAGAGCCAAGAAATGTAGAGTCCTGATGAAAACAACCAAGGTAAATGTTTGAGAATTAGTACACGGGCTGTGATAGAGAGCTCATCCAGAAACTTAGCAGAAGGACTTACTTATTTATTTCAAAATAAGTCTTAAGAAAGTAAGTTTCTCCAGAGGAGAAAGGTAAAGACAGGGACATAAAGACTTGGAAAATAAGAACTGTGAAGGCCAAGGACTCTAAGCATGGCTAGAGGTGCATAATAATGACATGGTTTCCCAAAGCCACCCACGAGCACCAGCCTCATTACTCCATAAGCCACACAGTACATCACGCAGTGACAGCATTGAGAATTTACAATGGTGACGTGTTGTCTGACCTCTGCCCCCTCCAACCTTAAAAAGACCCACATGAGAGAGTTGTCCTCAAATCCAAATCCATCATCTCCATAAGCCGGATCTCGAAGGCAGATTAATTATTTTTCCCTTTTTAATGCAAGGTGTTTTTTTTTCTTTTTTGCTGGATCTCATTTTATAAAGTAATAATCATTATATTAATAAGTATTGATTATCCATTATGTATAAATCAGAGTATAAGCGACAACAAAAGATTTTTTAAGTAATGCTATCTTACAGTACAGAACATATGGTTTTAAAAAAGACTTTGTAAACAAAGTAAAATGTAATGTTTTCATTAAGCCGGGAAGAAAGCAATACAACAA